AGCTGCAACAGCATGATTTTCAGAGGTGCTGAACTGACAGCAATACCACTGAGGCCAGTACCTCCAAAAAAATTGGACCTAACAAATATTGTTCATTTAGGGTACATCTAGACTACAAGCCTCTTTCGAAAGAGAGCGTCTAGACTGGAACCTCTTCTTTCAAAAAAAGTGAGCCGCTTTTTCGAAAGAGAGCATCCAGACTGCCTGGGTGCTCTTTCGAAAAAGCCCTGTTTGCATTCAAGAACGCCTTTTTTCAAAAGAGCACTTTCGAAAAAAGGCATTCTTCCTTGTGAAATTAGGAGTACCGCTGTCGAAAGAAAAGCCGTGTTCTTTCGATTTAATTTTGAAAGAACGCGGCTGTAGTCTAGATGCAGGTGAAGTTTTTTCGAAAAAAGGCTACTTTTTTCGGAAAAAACCCTGCAGTCTAGACATAGCCTTAGTAATTGTTCTGAGACCCTAAACTACTGGAAACAAGAATGGCAGTTAAAATGCCTATAAACTAGTTACAGGGAAACAAAGAAAATTAATGATTTTGGTAAAGCTTCATTCTCTGTGCATTCATGTCAAAGAAGTCACAGCAACAAGTTGTAAGACACTAATAGTGGTACGTGTTTCACTGGCACAAGTTTGGGACAACTGCATTACATGCTAGTGCTAAAACTATGAAAAAGTCATAGCAGATCATTCTAAGTATCCTTGGATAAAATCATTATGCCACACTTTGCGCCACCATGAACTCTGCATGTCATATTACATAAAACCTATTTTATGTACGTTTAAGAGAAATTAGAAAATATTTATTAAGACAGTTTTCTACTCCTGTCTGTGTAAAATCAAGTATATTAGGGTACGTCTAGACTACAGGCTTTTGTCGACAGAAGTTTTGTTGACAGATACTGTTGACAAAGAGCGTCTAGACTACATCCAGTTCTGTCGACATGACAGTGTAGACACAAAGGACAGTGTAGATGCAATGCCGCCTTCTGTCAACAGAACTGTGTCGACAAAAGGTGTTATTCTTTGTAGAATGAGGTTTACAGCCGTCGACAAAACTGCTGAGTTCTGTCGACGTTACGGTGACAGAACTCAGTGGCAGTGTAGACGCAGGGATAGTTTTGTCGACAAAAGTCCACTTTTATCAACAAAACCCTGTAGTCTAGACACACCCTTAGTTAATAGGAGTCCAAACATACTGGACTATAAAAGTGTAGAGGTGAATCTTGCCTCATGTGGCTTCAGAAAGGGATATTCTCCTTCTCCCCCTCCTTCTAGCTCCCCATGAGAAAATTCTCTCTTCTCTGAAATGCAAAAACAGTTTGTGGCACTTTGTTTTGGGTAACTGCAGCTTTTTGAAGCTGTTCAAGAATTTAGTGTTGAAGGCATTTCCATAGGTAAAAACAGATGATGTGGACCACACCAAAGTACATAATTTATTACGTTGTTTTGTGGCTTAGTACATGACTAACATGTCTACTTAGAAGATCTTTATGCGGACATACCAAACTTTGAGTTACCCATTTCTCAGATAAAACTCACAAGCCGTACAGATCTGTGTATGTGTATTTATAATACGGGCAATCCCTGAGTTACGCGGATCCAACTTATGTCGGATCCGCAGTTACGAACCGGGATTTTCTCGTCCCGGAGGACTGGAGCGGCGGGACGCCTGGTCCTGCTGCCCACCTCCTCCAGGGCGAGAAAAGCTGCTCCCCATCTCCCTGGTCTGCTGGGGGAGCCAGCAGACCAGGGAGACGCGGAGCAAAGCGGCAGAGGACCCGGGCCGGACCGTGGCGCTTCCAGATCAGCGCCGCGGTCTGGCCCGGGTCCTCCGCGGCTTTGTTCAGCGTCTCCCTGGTCTGCTGGCTCCCCCAGCAGACCAGGGAGATGGGGAGCAGCTTTTCTCGCCCCGGAGGAGGCGGGGGGGGGGGGGAG